AGAAGAATTCAGGAGGGGGAACAGAAGAGTGATTCACAGATGTAAAAGAGACAGACAGACAGACACAAAGGCTCAGAAAGGGTAAGATGAGTACTGGAAAAGGGGTCGAATTTGACATACAGTGGGGTGATGGTAGTTTGAAGTGAGAAGTCAACTGCCAGTTTATAGACTTTTTTGCCGTATGTGTATACGTTGCCCAGGGTGCACCACGAGGAGGTAAGTCTATCCCACACCCCTTGCGATGGGAAACTAAGTACCCATTAAAAATCTTAATTATTACTTAACTCTAATACGATTAAACTAAACAATCTCATGCCCACTCGAAAATTCTGGAGGATACAGTCGTGGGTGTAGAGGATTTCTCAGCTAATCAGCTATTTATGTCCATTCAAGTTATTTTAAACGTAATCCCTTATCAATCACATTTGCTCTGAGCGTAAGGTCGTTAACAACTATACTCACTATACGTCTGTTTCCTCTATATCATTTCGGGAGCCTAACCATACTAGGATAAGTTGGCATAGAGCTTACTGAGGACATGTCAAGGCTTATTCGTGTAGAAATCAACCACAAGTTCTTTGGAATAAAGTGAGATTACAGGGAGCAATTAGGCACTAACTAATTCTGATAGGATTTCTGGATCCGCGATAAAAAAATGTTTGCCCACCTTGGTTAACAATCTCGCACATTTCAAATATCACTGCAAAAGCTTGCCTTCAGAGGTTTCAGTCCTCACCTCAAGGTGAGTAGGTGTTCAAAGTGAACAAAAATCGTGTTATTTGATTTTATTGTTATGGGGGAACTAAAAATATCAAATATCAAAAAGATACGAAGAATTCACAAATAACTAAATGTGCCTTGGCTTTTCCTGATTAGGTTTTTTAATTATCATACTCGATCTCATATGTTGATCATTTATTTATTTATTTCAAATGGCAGGCTTTATGATAGTTTTCATTACCCCTTTAGTTGACTTCGAGCTACATAAAGAGGAGGAACAGAAGAGTGATTCAAGGAGGTTAAAGAGATAGACAGACACAAAGGCAGAGAAAAGGTAAGGTGAGTACTGTGAAAGTGGTTGAATATGACATACAGTGGAGACATAGCAATTTGAAGGGAGAACCAACTGCCAGGTTATAGACGTTTTTCCGTATGGGTATACGTTGCCCAGGATGTACCACTTGGAGGTAAGTCTATCGGGCATTCCGTGTTCTACTTTATTAATACCTTTAATTTGGATCATCAATTTAGCCAAAACGCAGATTTCAAATTCGTTTCAAAGACACACTTTGGTTTGAGCTCAAGTTGTGTGGAAGAGACCTTCAAACTTGTACGTTTTTTGTGTTATAGACGTATTCTCCAATTCTCTTGCACTTTTTGTTCTCAATTTGAGACGCAGTGAGACGGGCAATTCAGGTTGCAGTGGTGGTGGTGGTGGGGGGGGGGGGGGGGGGGG